GGATAAAACTATATAAGCCCAGCTTCACTGATTGCAAATTTGAAAAGGCAATGTGGCTCCGCCTGCAATCAAAGGCTTGGATCGGCTCCAATCCAACGTTTGTGTTTGTTTGAGAGAGAGTGAGTGAGAGAGGGAAGGGTGTAGGAGAGATAGTCCAATCTAACTTCCCTGTGTGCGTGTGTCTGTTTAAGAGAGGGAGGAGGGAGGGAGAGAAGGAGGAAAGAGGGGGAGGGAGAAGAAAAACAAATTAAGGAAACTTTTTCCCAAAGGAGAAAAACAAATGCTGTCGCTTTAAATCGGAACTGAGCATGCCTGGCAGTGGAATTCTGGGAGTTGAAGTCCACAAGTCTAAAAAAAATTGAAAGCCCTGTGTCAGTACCTCACCAGCCATAAACCTCACCGCACGTCACTGAAAAGTACATCTCTTTTTCTTTGGCTTGGTTGTAGTATATATCTATGGCAATGTTATTCTTTTTTATTTTATATTGATCCATATGCATTCTAGGAGGTTTTCATCTTTGTTTTGTGCATTTCTGTAGCAATATAGTGGTCCTTTATATACAGTACAACCCCACCTTCTCTTTTATGGGGTATCAGATCCCTAAAAACAATACTGCCATTCAATTGAGAGAAGTGGGGTGGCAGGATTCAATTCATTAGTATTGCCTGTGACAACTGGTATTTTATAACTTGTATCCTGGCGAAGCACCCTGAAATATTCTCACCTCTTGGGGAATGTATGGGAGGGATGCCCATGTGGCTTGTGTCACTTTGATAGCCAATGGAAGATAGCCCTGGGGATGTATGCTTATCCGTTTCTCAGGGCAGCTGGTAAAACGACATCTTAACACCTGCAGATTGGCTAAATCTGCATCCGGCGAAAGGGAGGGGTCTCTACTGATTTAATTCTACTTGTCTTGCCTAAGGGTATTCAGACGCTGCTTTGAATCCACTTCTGCTTAATAAAAGGTTCCGTTTGAAATACTTCCTTTCGAGAGTCTTCACTTTCTCAAGTTAGGAGGAGATGCAATCCTTACATAGGGTCTGGTTTATAAAAGGCTACAAGTTTATGTTAGGGTCTCCAACTTCACTTGGACAGCTGCTGCGCACTTCCTTGACAATCTTAATACATCTTTTTTTAAAAAAAAAAGCTTCTCGGAAGAAGGTATCTGTAGACTCTGATCCTCCATTGATACTAAACTGGCTCTAAAATAAATATTTATCATTTTTATACAATATATATATATATAACTGTGAAGAACATTAAAGAGGGGATAGCTGCAATCAATATTCAACATTTCTTTTATGACCTAGATATGAACTTGTGATGCAATTTGTAATGGATGGAAAGCAGTATGCATGGGAGATTTTTACATGTGCATGCCTTTACAATTTGCAGGAAATGATAAAGCACTTTGATTATTGCCTTTGGTGGAAACTGAGCAAAATGCAGAGATCTCTCTCTATTCTAGTTACTGGGATAAAATTACAAGGAAGTAAATTTATATTCGGCATTGCGTTGAGCTATGCCACCTAATTCTCTCTCTCAACCTTATTAATCCCAGTTAATATTCAACTACTAACACATTCATCCATCACTAAAACAGTACTTTATAATTTTCTCCGAGAACTTCAATTAATAAAAGGATCAGACAAACAAAAAAAGAATAATCCTGAAATATCACTGCTTATTAACAATCAACAGGATACCAAAGTAATAACACAATTATTTATTTTATGTATAAACGATTTTGAAAAGCAGAGCAAAATGATAGAAAAACTAAAAAATCAAGAGGTAAAATAACGTATTTGTATTGGCTCAAAAATCTGCCTTCTGAGAATTTTCTTCCTATCATTGATTCTTCTAAACTTTAATTAGGACAGCCAAAAACTGTCAGTGTTTCGGACAACTGAGCAAAGTCATCGCACAAAGCCTGGAATTCATCATCCTGGCATTCATCTTCATCCGGCCATCTCTCGATCCAAGTGTTCCTTGTAATGAGGTAGGAAAAGCTAGAAAGAGAAACAGGATAGTTAAAAACAGCCCTGCAGGGAAATTAGTTCAACTGTCTCCTGTCGGAATAATGTGCTGGGCTTGGATTGAATCCTAATAGCGTTTTTAATCATTTTCATCCTATGAATATGACATTTTAATTTCAATTTTGTTTTTAGGGTGAGAAAAGAAACTTTTCTTTTTTCTTAAAATCCGAATCCTGAAACAACTGAATTCTAGAAAATTCAAATGGCTCCTGTCGTAAAACATGATTGCTACAACAATGGAAAAATACACCCTCGTGTGTTGCAAGATTTGGCAGTATACAGTACAGATATGATGAATGAATGAATTCAATTATAAATCAGTTTTATCTCATAGATTGCTTCTCCCCAGTCTAAGGCTTTACACATTTCAGTTGACCCAAATAGCAGAAAATTGGATCTGAATGCTAAAAGTGTATACCATCAACAAAAATTTAGAAATATGTTTGTGGAATTCAAATGGAATGAAAAGAATGGCTCCCAGCTAGCACTTCTCAAAATCAACCAGACAAGGAGAATAAGAGATGCATCAGGCTTGTGATAGTTAAGACAATCCTAAATTCAGGGAGGCTTTAAGAAGTGTGAAAAAGTGTGAAACATCCTTATGTTGCTTTGAAAGGTTAAATCACCCAAGCAGTATTTTGATTTTCTCCAGGTAAATCAGTATCAACCTTAATCTTTCCAAAAGCACCTAAAACAAAAAGTACATGTTCCTTAAGATACAGTGATAATCTATCAATTTTCTTTCATGTATATATATTTGAGTGTATAGAGAAGAACAACTAGATCAGAGGTGGGTTCCTACCAGTTCGCACCTATTCGGTAGAACCGGTTCATCAAATCTACTGAACCAGTTAGAAGAGGTTCCATCAGTGGACCCGGAAAGCAGGCCACACCTACAGAAGAGCTTCCAAAATGTTTTGAAACCCACCACTGGCCCTTGGATAGGATTATTCTACACTATCATGCTCCTATTTATAAAACTCAGTGCCTCTGTGAAAGGTAAGGATGACTACTGCGTTTGTGGTGCAATCAGAACATTGCGTGTGTTGAAGTTGTTTTAACGCAAACCAAAGATGCCTTTTAAAAAACAAGTTTACATCATATTCTTATGCATGCCAGTGCTGTGTGTGGGGTAATTTAAGGTGGTTCTGGCAAGTGTCGTCGGCATCTTCATATCCGGTCACATGGGCGGCAAGCCACTCCCACAAAGGAGGCCACACCCACAGAGTAGGTTCAAACAATTTTTGAAGCCCACCACTGAACTAGATGCAACCATTCCCCTATTGAACTGTCTGTAAAAACAATGGTGGAAATAATTCAGCACAAAGTGAAAGGAAATGATTGGACTACTAGGTCTGGGCTGCAAAAATTTGGATAACCACTAGAAAGTAACAAAGACACGCAGACAACTTTTATTCTTTGCTGAGTGAAATGTACAGATCCTTGCAGGCCTGAACTGGAGGCGGTGGGAAATCTGTGGTTGTGATAGAAAAGACCCATCCAGGCAAGCCCAGTCCTGTTCAGCAGGACACAGAGCATATGGACTGCGTGGCTTGAAGCATCAGGGCAAAAGCATTAGATATTCCCAAAGAGATTTTGTGGGGCAGATGATGCTATCCATACATGAAGGAATCTAAAAATCCGAGTTATGGGAATTCCACAGTCTTCCCTACAATGCCATACATAACCTACCCAAGTGGCATCCAATAAATCTGAAGAAGAATGGCTATTTTGGCATTAAAAGATTCAGGTTATGATTGCTTTCAAAGGTGTAATGCAACATTCTAGGGTACTGTAAATATATTGTTAGGGGTTCTGTGGATTTGGTAGCAAAAATAGTCTATAAAAGTTTAGAAAATTAAAAAGAAATAGTGAAATACATACTCATCTTTCATAGGCCACAAGTCACTGCTGAGACCCCAGACCAGATAATTATTGTCCAGCTTCAAATTCAGAGACTCCTGGCATTTCCTTTGACTTACATACTGGCGGGCGTTTGCTTTTGGATTTCGGTCAGTGCCTGCAGAAATTAGATAGAATCTGAATAAATATTTCAATAGGGACACGGTCTTACATTGGCAAGTTATGTTAAGTGACCAGAGAAGAGGAAATAGCTGTATTTAGTGGGTGCATTGGCCCTTTCTTCAACTTCTCTTGGCCCATATTTATCACCTTGGGGCAAACAAACCATCTTCTCAGCTCTACCTTTTTCCTCAGAGAGGCAACACAGATACGGCAGCATCTGATCTAAAAAGCTTGAGAGCCGAGGTGGCGCAGTGGTTAGGGTGCAGTACTGCAGGCCACTTCAGCTGACTGCTATCTGCAGTTCGGCGGTTCAAATCTCACCAGCTCAANCTTCTCAGACCATTAGCCAGTTCATTACTTTATCAGGTATTGTGGATACTTTCATTCTGCTCAAAGTTTTAGTTTCATTTTTAGATCAATCATACTCTATTGACTTTCAATTCTTAGAGTACCAGTAATTGCAATCCAAGTGACTTACACAATCCTTTGTCTTTAAGATCAAGTTTCTTGTTCATAGCTACAATATCCATTTTTGTATTAATTTCCTGTTTTCTTGGTATGTCCTTCTTTTCTAACTTTACGTTAGGGTCAGTGAATTATCCCAGTTGTCTCTTTGTATTCCCCTATTACCTGCCATGTATTAATTCTCTCTAGTAATCTTTGGATTACATGCTCATTTTTTTCATATTGCAACTTGAATATTGAGTAAAATCTATCACAACAGGGAAATAGGTTTTTAGCTTAGGCTTGTCTGAATGTATTCTAGGCTTATTTTTGGGGGGAGGAAATGTCCATCTGGGTTCAGTTCCAAGTGAGGAGAAAGACACTAGAAACATGGAGGCTAATTGGAAAGATGGCATAATGGTGGACAGGATGAGGCTTGGTTTAATCTTGCTGGGTGATTCAATGAAGAACAATTTCCTATTGTGGCCGAATGGATTTGCCCTGAAGGATAATCCCATCATCCTGGACCTGAAGGTCTTTTGTAGATAAGATGGCCCAGTCTTTTGTCTTGTACATAGGTTGGCACCAGCCTTTCTGGGGCTATTAACAAAGATGGGGGCTGCTTTCCAAGGGAGGTATAATATTCTGCCTTTTTAAATATTTCCTAGAGTATGTCATTCTTCTAGGAGATGGGTGGGTGCTAATTTACAAAAAGAATAAGAACAGAAGCCATGTGGTACTACAGAATCTTCCAAGATGATACCAAAGTGTTCTGACCCCCTCCTCCATCCAGTAACGAAACCCAAGACGAGCTTAACTAGAATGTACTTTAATAGCAAGACCAAAAT